CCCCCCCCCATAGGGATGGCGTCACTCCGAGGTGCCGTGTCTCTGACATCGCCGCCGTGGCGCCCAAGGGGGGGTGGAGAGGAAGCGCCGGGCGCCACGAGCCGCACCTGTGCTGCTGTCACCATGCGGTGGGTTTCGGGGGGCAGAGGCCACGAGCAGGAGGGCCCCCTGTCAAATGCAGCAGGGTCCACCGGGGGCAAACGGTGCTCTTTAATGGGGGACAGCTGCGACGACTTGAGCACGCTCCATTTGGCACAGATTTCTCCAGTTGCTGCTGCTGCTGTAGCCGTGTTTCGCTTGGCGTGGCCTTGTGGTGCCGTAGCGTAGCGTCTCGTGCTGGCGATGGGAGCGCTCTGCCACCCGCTGCTGCTGCTGCTGCCGGTGCCGTCGGCGAACTGCAGCTGTGAGCGCGCGTGCGTCTCTGCCTGCGGGGACGAGGCAACTCCACGTGCTCGTGCCGAACCTGCGACCCACTCTGCTCCAGGGTCCTCTTGGTGACCTGGTGAGAGGCGTCAGTTGCGTCATTGCGGGAGATGTGGTTGACCGTGTGCAGAGACGCCAAGTCCATGCTCACGTCCCTGTGCTGCCGCTTCTGTGGCGATGGCAGCTTCAATGGCTGCGGATACTCTTCGCGCTTGTGCCTCTGGAAGCAGTCCTTCTGCAGTTCCTTGTTGGCCTTAAATCGAACCTGGCTCATCTCCAGTTGCATCAGCGAGCAGGAACGCACGCAGCATTCTTCTACGATGCCGCCCAGCCCGCCCTGGCGCTCGCTCGGTTGCGCCGCGTTGAAACCATCGGTGCCGCACACGAACTGCAAGCGCCTCCACAAGCTCGGAGCCGCAGAGCGTCTTGGCCGAGCAGCGTTCACTCCACAGCGTGCACAGCGCCAGCCACAGCAGAGCCTGGCTGAGGTGGTGCGGACGCGGCTGTCTGCTTGAGTGGAGGAGGCCCATGGCGAGAGCTGAGCGGCGCCGCCCCTGCTTGCGGCTGCCGTGATCGCGGTGACGGTAAGAACGGCGAAAGCACGCCGTTGCTCTCTCTGCTTGCGGACTTTCAGCCCCCTCTCGCCTCGCCCCTTCTCTCTCACGCCTCACCTCTTCTCTCGAGTACCACCTTCATGGGTCTGCGACGTTTCCTTCCAGAGGTATTGCCAAAAAACACACATCCCAGAATCCTCTAGGTTTGGGGTCCAAATGTTGTCGCTTATTATATCCCATGAGAAACGTCGCATCGAGTCAATGTAATTTAATTCTACTCGCCTGGACGAGCGGAATTGAATGGTGAAACTGGTTTTGCTGTGCTGTGTTAAATCAGATATTTGCATGACTGCATGTGTATTTAGAATCGACGTGTTTCGAATATTTGGCTGCTCTAAATGTCCACACTGATAAGCCACTTTGTTGAGCTATCATCTGTGGCCAGGTCGCTACTTATAAAAGCGCTATGTAGCTCAGTGGGACTTACGTGGTTAAAATAAAAATAGTAAAAATAACAGCACCACCACTCCATGTACACAGAACATCTGACGTGATCCTGACTGCAGTGCTCATCTCGATATGGTCGATGAAAGTGAATTACGTGGCGGCCGCTACGTTAAAAGGTTTCGTCACCTTTGGGTGGCATCAGTTGCTGCTCTGGCCCATCGGGAAATACAACAATGCCTTGATGGAGGCTCCATTGAAGATGCTTGCGACCCTCTCAACTGGCCGTCTGACCCGAATGTTCGGTCCAACCCGAGCTGAACATCGAGTGGAACTGGGTGACCCTGGGGCTATTTGCTACAAAGCAACACTTTGTTTTTACATCCCACGGTCAATCCACTGCTGGATGAAGGCCTCCCCACCATTGTGGTTCTTTGACCATATCCCACCACGGGTGGTCGATGCTGGTCGGTGAAGGTCGCGGGCAACCAGCCCTGTCATCGCTCCCCAGTGGTGTCGGTGTTAGCCCTGGACAGGAATTGAACTCGGGTGGAGCCGGTTCGTAGCGTGGCGCGCTACCCACCTGGGCCACTTCTCGTCACCCTCTTTGGCTGTTTACTCAACGACCTCAACATTCGTCAATGGTGACCGATTCCATTCATAAAGTGCGCTCTTGCCGCCGTGTGCGACTGAGTAGTGCTCAGTATTAAACACGCGTTGACTGCTCTATACAGGGTGGGATAGAGATCTCTACTCAACCCTGCAGGGTGACCCCTCTCATAGTGAAGGCGTTCACACTTGAGCTGCGGTTGTCCTGTGCCAGTAGTTGCATCATTAACCGTGCGAAACCCTTTTCAAACCATTACTATAAAAATGCAGAATTTGCCTTTAAGTTACTTTTCTTGGATTTAGCAGAATTCCACAGTAGCTCTCTCAATAGCTGTAGCGATTGAGTAACGATCTTTTAAATGTTTGCGTTGTTAAATCGTATGAGTCGTAAGACGATAATTGAATGACCACTTAGTGTAGGACAATCATTGAATGTTTTGAACTATAAAACTCTGCAATGTTAATTTAATGCTGAGGGTGTTGACAAGCAAAGTAGCGGGTGTGTGGGGTTTAAATTGTCAACTCGTGCCCGCACTGCATCGTGTGGCGGGTTTCTGACAGCAGCAGCATCGCCACGACGCTCTCATTGCCGCTTGGTGAATATCCGTGGCGGGTTCCTTTTCGTTTTTTGTTCATTGAATGAGACATCACCCTCCCTGCACCTGGCCACCCACTTGTGTGTTTGTGTGCCTTCAGGTGTCACAGCAGAGCTATTGCAGAGGGATGCTGCGATTATACTGGCGTGGGCTAAGCATCCACAGCGGAGGTAAGAGCCCCCCACTCTGTGTCAGTAAATGGGTGGGGGGGTGGTTGATCATACTTCACCACGCTGGTCAGTATGAGTTGGTGTGAAGAGGAGGCAGCCCAAAAATCTGTTCAGATGTCACTCCGCACCGACGTTAGCCGTGGCCGGGAATCGAACTTTGATGGCAGCTAAGGGCCGTGCCACCGCTTCACGGGTGAACGGGCTGATTAGATGAGACGAAGGCGTTGCGTTTCGTATCAGTGGCTACTCCTCCACGTGGCTGGGCGATTGAGAAACCACACCCACAGCAGTGCCCCAGTGTACCGGCACCCCCCCAGTGCTGGAGTCAACATTCTCTGGGCCCCGTTTTTCTTCACACGCCGCCCTGGATTTGGGCCCGGCAAGAAGCGCGTCGCCACCGAACGCGTTACGGTCAAATGTTGTAAGCGGCAGGTTTATCTAACTTCATATTTGACTTCCTCTTCCAAGACCTCCTGGCCAGTGTGGAGGAGTAGGCCAATTACCCTCACAGGGGCTCTCTGCAGCTCCCTCTCGTGGAGGCCCCATTTGCCGGCAGTGGCGTGAACAACCGCAGGGGCTGTACCTTTACCTTCTATCCACTTTTTATATTCAACATTTAATTAGGTCAGCAAGGCGGTGTTGACCTCTTACCCACACACGTTTCTGACAAGTACAGCAAGTGCACGTGTACACAAGTGTACTCCTGTGCTAGTTGCACGCCACTTCTGCTTTTTGTGTTTAGTTTGTTGTCGTTCCCCCATACCTCAGATTAGCACGGTTGGCTGTGTGTGGTGCTAAAGAAGTTAAACATACACACACGCGCATCCACGCACACAAACACGTACACACCCATCAACACACAGACATACAAAGACAAACACCCCCCGTATAGCCAAACAGGCTGTTGGGGCAAGTGCTGTTAGCGAGCACACGCACATACACACATACATACACACATAAACACATACACACACATTTAAACAAACACATACACACACACATCCACACCCATACACACATACACCCACACACAAAGACACATACACACACACACTGCGATGGCAAAGTAATAAATGGAAGCGAGACCAGTTTTGTCACGACAAGTATATATTCATTTCAAGTGCAAATACAAAACGAGGTAGACAAAATCTCTGGAAAACATTAATCTCGCTTTCCCTTCCCACACTTTGAGCTGCTTTTGTACAAACGATAAAAACCCCGAGGAGACCGAATTGTCACCGATCTACATTCACGAGTTCAGAAACCGCTATTTCTGGAGGTATCGTGGATGATGGAAATAAAGTGCTTGGCGAAGTTCATCATTTATCCGTACATTTCACGTGGTAACGGCTTGGCGCTACGGTTAGCGTGTCCATTGAAATGTGCACGCCCCGTACATAAAAAAAGTAACAGATATGTAGTTTAAAAAATGCCGACGTATTCACAGTTCAATAAATAAATACTTTGCAACAGCGGTTACTTTTTAATCCCCGAGACAACGCAAAATAAAAGCCCCGCATTTTACATGAACAGAGACAAGAACCGTACGGGAATACCTTGCACGACCTCACTGAGACCGCACTCCGGCCTCGCGTTGCGGAGGATGCAATCTCGGTCTTCATTTGTAATGGGACAGTTCATTTTGCGGTCACCATCACAATGACGTTCCTGGTGCCAACTCTCTTGACGATTGGCCAGGGAATAAACATCAACCCCAAGACATAATGGGTTGGTGCCGCCTGCATGGATCTTGGCTCCTGTTTCCCAGAATGGCTGGCGTGATTTTAAGCACTTTCGTGCTGGGTGTTTCAAGTCTTCGTGGATTAAAACTTGATTTGAAGCTTTCGTGATTGCATGAATTACTCTTTGGTTATAGTAGGTTTTTACCCTTTAAACTGGTACAAAACTGACACCTTTATACAAGGCATCATGTTTGCAATAACCACAACACAAGCAGTCAAAATGCAAATAAAAAGAAACAACTTTGATAATGATATGCACTGTCCTTGAAGTTGATTGGTCCACACCCGAGACAGCTTTTCTTAGAGCCTAGTCTCCATTGGTGTTGGACCAGAAGACGCCAAAAGGCGTACAACTCAAAAACAGCACACTATCAGAGTATTGAGAGCTCGGGGTAAGCATTTACACTATGAGACCTCCTTTGTCACTGGTAAAGGAGGTCTCATAGTGTAAATACTCTTTGGTTCTTTCGGTAAAGTCACGTAGAAAATAAATAAATTAAATAATAGAATACGACGTTTCGATTGCAACACAAGCAATCGTCATCAGGTAGAAAGCAAACCTAGTGAACTTAAAAATATTTTCTTTCTTCGTGGATTGTGAGGTCAGAGTTGCTTTAAATGTTTTCTATCTCGTCGGACGGCTGTCAGCATTGGACGGGCGTGCATGAGGCCTTGAGCTAGTGATTGCAGCTCTTTATTGTGTTGAGAATGTGGTCGTCGAGTGAGAATGTCGAGTCTAAGGTGATTCCAATGATGTTCAAGTGATTTCAGAGGCTGGTGGTGGAGCCGGCGATGAATACATTTTGGGGGGCGGGCGACGCCATGGTGAGCCTCTGCCTGGTGCCTTCGTAAAATGTCTCTCAAAATTAGTTTGATCTTGAGGGGAAGCAAGAGGTTAGACACGTGATCATGGATTTTAACCAGCGACTTATCTTGGTGGGGCGAGTGCCAGTTGTTACACCGGTGGTGGCTGCTGTGCGACCAGAGTGGCGGTGGCTGTGGTGGGACTGGTGGCTGCTGTTGGACTGGCTGCTGTTGGACTGGCTGCTGTGGGACACGCGGTGGCAGCAGCTGCTGTGGTGCTGACGGCGGCTTCTATGAGACCTGCGGCGGTGGTGGTGGTGGCTGCTGCAGGACTGGCGGTGGTTGCTGGTGGAATGGCAGCGGCTGCTGTGAGATCGGGGTGGTGGTGGTGGCTGCTCTGGGACTAGCGGCAACGGCTGTTGCGTGTCTGGCGTTGCCGGTAGCTGCTGCTGCTGCTGTTCCTGCCGTCGCACTTGCAGTGGCTCCGGCAGTTGTTCCCGTTGGGGCGGTCCGACATCTTGGGTTTCTGGAGATAAAGAAGATGATGGCGCTAAAGTCCAAACCGCTCGACATTGGGAGAATGAAACAAAACCGGTCTAAAGTATAAACAAGAAGATCGCTGTACTTCACCTATTCCCTTAATATAAAATGATGCGCTGTCAGGGTGTACATTCTCCCTGGGCATTTCCACGCACACAGGACGGCGTTTCCAATCCATCCTTTACCTTGCGCGCCGGTGAGGAGAGCTGCTGTCCGGTAACTGGGTCCGGGGTCTTCCTTCGCCGAGTGGGGCCGCTTAAGGCACGACCAGGACGTCGCCTTGACGTGCTCCAGCGGGCAGTAGCTCTCCGCTGGCGGCGCGTTCAATTCTGGGGACCTGCATGCACGCACCAACGCGTCGCAAACCGTTAACACCTGCCTTTAAAGGAGACACTGCTGCTCGCACAAGACAATATCTTTCCAGTGAGCTGGTCTGGGGGACGGATGTAAGTGCAGGTTAAAGTGGAGGGGAGAGAATGTGACTTACCGAATATAGAAGAGCACGTAGGCCTGCTTATTCATCACAGCCTTGGTGTCGACGTGCCGCACGATGGAGTCGTTCATGCAGCACCATTGTCCATCGCTGATCTGCGCACAGTCAAAGCACAGCTACACTTGGTTACAATGTTTACACAACTGCACCCAGATTCCTCCGTTGATGTAATAACAACACGCAATACACACTCTAGACAACAAGTTCGTAAAGAGCATCACCCCATTGTCAGAGCTGCAGAGCGTGCTACGGTTGCTGTGATGGTGCTGAAGTTACGAAACGATCTGCCTGAATATATCACTGCATGGATGACCTTGGACCAATTTCATCAGAATCAGAATCTTTATTTGTACTGAAAGAATTCGATGATCTACGAAGCTCTTAAACAAATGTCCAGTCGGGGCGGGTCAGAAAGTTACAACAACAACAAACAATACAACACCGATTGGAGTGCAAAGTGTAGAAATGCTATGGAAGTCACTAAATACAAATAAAGTATACACTATAAGTAGAAATTGCATGAGTGCATCAAGACGCAAGAACATACACAAGACTTTTAATTATTCTTCCCTATCGGACATTGGTAACATTATGGGCGCATTGCAGATGTGCGTTGTTTTTGTTTGATAGTAACGAATGGAATTACCTTATTGTAGCAATAATAATGACCCCTGTTGGAGTTGGCTCCCTTGTGCACCAGCACCGAGTACAGGGAGTAGATCGCGGGCTCGCCCTGAGACGTTGAGGTGAAGGGTTGCATGTCCAGGTGCTCCGGGTAGGTGATGTTCTACAGGCAGCGCACAGGAGGGGGAGGCAGTGCACAGAGACAAATGTTAGGAGAGGAAACGGCAGGGGTGGTGGGGTGGGCAGCAGAGATAGGCACCATCTCAGTTACGTGTCAAAGTGATGTCGTGATGTCTCGCTAATTTGAGCGTTGAAGATGGTGCTCATCTCCTGTTCATAGCCCTGAGCAAGTGGTGGAAATTCTACAGTCACATGACGGGGGGCGAGTCTATCTGTCGGACCTATTCCAACATGGAGAGGCATTTTCTCCAGCGTTGAACTGACAAAGGGCTGTCATTAAGTAATTTAATTCGAACGATGTGGAGGGGCAGAATCGTTACCCGGTTGATCTTGACGCCGTAGAGGTTGTACCGCTTGATGGAGACGGTGAGGACGTTGGGCAGGCGGTGGAGAGCCATCGTCTTCGTCGCTTCCCCCTTGCAGCAGCACCTGCATGACAACAACAACGCCAGCCATCGCACGCGTTCCCCAACTTTAAACAATAAGTCTACTCTCTTTTTGTTGTTTGTTAATTTTTCTTAATTTCTTAAAATAAAAAAATGTTACTTTTATTATATATTGTAAGTTATTTTCAATGTATTTACATAATATTTTATTAAAATATTTTATTATAATTTGATTTAATCTGCAGACTTTTGAAGCTACAAATGATTCCAGGGTGTCAACACACGATGCCCAACTCACATTCCGCAGGTGTATTCGTCCAGCGTCTCCTTGTTAAAAAACTCTTCAAATGCCTCCACAAGATCTGATGAGTTCTGTTGGTCGACAGAGTGAAACGCAAATGAGGACTCTAAGAAGCATTCCATGAACATCTGCAGAATGTTATTGTGACGGCAACTCCGAAAACCTGCATCTTGTATGAAATCGTACGACCAAAAAAAGAGATCACGTACGCTACCGGCAGTGTGTTTGGATGTTAAGTGGCTGATTCAGGTAGGCGTGTGTGTGGTGGATGTTGGCACAGCAGGGAGCACAGGTGGTGCATCGGCCAGTCATCTCGGTCAACCCATGGCACTTGGGTCTGTCCCGTGACCTGCCAGCGGGCGTTCGACACTTCATATGGCCTTAAAGCGCACTCAGGCTGGCACAAGCACCGTGGTGACAACACCGCCACTTAGTGGAGAATGGGGGTTGTTCACGTATGCGATGTATGTACGTTTAACTTATTTCGCACCGTACGTAGATCTTTAACTGTTAATCGATGACTTCGTCATTGCTTACATTAATATGGAGTGCAATGTCCAGGCACGTGTCAAAGGTGTCGGAGTGGTTGCAGCACTGCATGCACTCCACTGCAAAACACAAGCACACACGCATTAGGAAGGGACGTCACATGTTACTTAGTAAAACTAAATGCACGCTCCCCACTGACATTGGTAATTGGTAGTTTTCACCAACTGGTAAAAGGTTATTCTGTGTTACACGTGCGTGAGAGTGTGCAAACGCTGCGACGCGAGCACGTCTACACTGTGATGGTGCACTTGCTGCTCGCGGTTAACAAGTTTCTAGAGGAGTGCGCACAACTCACCACGTGATCGAAGGTAACCCCCGAAGATCTGGTAAATGAGGGTGGTAGCCTCCGTGTATCTGTCCAGCCTGCCAGTCACAGAGAACGACACCACACGGTGGTTACAGCAGCAGCAGTAGTAACACCTTTACCGGATGCACACGCGTGTGTGAGAGTTACACCATTGCCCGAGCTGTCGATTCACTCTTTCCCTTCAGCACTGCAACGCGTGCTCTGTAGCAACCAAACGTGGTAGTGTCTGCACAGGGCAGCCACCTTCACGGCACAGCCACAGAGCTGGGGGCACGCTGGCAGCCATCACGCGGTGCTGTTGCCCGGCGCTTTTGTTGTGCTCGGCGTGCCACGTGCCGCTCGTCAACACGAGGAATGTCGTCACGGGGCCACCGCACATCGAGACATCGATTTTCCGATATTTATCGGCAACGTGAAATGCGCAAACAAAAGGTGGCCCACGTCAGGGCCAAGGTGAAAGAACCGTGGTGCCAGCAGGGTCGGACCTCTGCATCTCCCAGGTTTTCACACAAAAGTGTGAGTAGCTTTTCACAGACGTTGAAGTACAATCGTGCAGAAAACCAAGAGGAAGCCGTGAGGTACCAAACTGCAGAACGACTGCCGCATGTTGACTGGCGCGCAGTACTCACTCGCTGTGGCCATAGAGGCATGAGGCTTGCATGCCATCTACCACGTATCGCAGAAACTCGTGGGCATCTTCCTGTCTCCCAATGCGCAGGTGTTTGGCGATGCCTGCAGAGAAATGGACATGGGGACAAAGTGACAGGTACAGGATCTGATGACATCCTTAAAGAGCTCCCCAACATATATGGCAAAAGGAGTGGTGCAAAGGACTTGGAACACAGATGGAGAAAGATCGCGGGGGATAACTTCTCCTGCGAGTGCAAGTGTGAACGTAGTATTGGGACTCACGCGTGATGTTCTTAGTTATGACCTTGGGTGTCAGCACTCTCTGCGAGTTGTTGAACGTGCTGACAATGTGATGCTCCATGACACACATCAGGCAAAAGTCGCTCTGTTGGCCTGCGAACGAGAGCACAGGTGGCACAATCCGTCAGCGCACGCCACTTGCACTCAGCCCAGCTGGGGAGTAACAAGAAAGGCTAGAATCCTGGCACCAGCAACAATCGCAATGAATGTTGCGTCTAAGTACCAATTGCATCACATCTGTCCGACCTATTAAAAATTATCGCCACATGTGCTCGTGTTTATCAAAATCATAATATTTATACTGGTGGAATCCGATAAGCTAAGAGGTTTTGTTTAAAAAATGTCGAGTAGGGGCACTGGGTCAGAACATTACAACACCAAACAATACAAAAAACGATCAGAGTACAAAGTATTGGAAAGGTAAACAAATCACCTTTTAAAAATCTACAAATAAAACTAAACTTATTTTTTCATCTTCCCAGATAAAGCCCACTGAGCTATTAGCTTCTTCAGAAGCGACCTGGACCACAAATGATGGCTCACGAAGTGGCTTATCATGTGGGAAATGTATCGCAGCAAAGTCACTGACATAATAACCTAACCCATGGGTAAACGAGAGTGCCAGGGGGGAGGGTACTTACAGGTGCTGCAGTGCTCTTGCAGCAGCAGGTAGTTGGCGAGCGGCGGCGTGTAGGCGAGGCACTGCAGCGTGGCGTTGAGGAAGCAGGTGTTCCCCAGGTTGCGCAGGCCGGCACCCTTGCAGACGTCGCTCTCCCACCTGAGGTTCAGCCGCTCCGGCGCAAACAGCGAGAGCCGTGCCGCTGGAATGCCGTCGTCCTCCTCTGCACAAAGGGCACGGTGGTGGCGGAAGCCGGTGTCATCGCAGGGCGCTGCACTGCCGATGGGGCTGGCGTGGATATTCAGTAGCCCCAGCCAGCACCCGTACTGCTACTCTTAACCACGAAGATTTTACTCCACATTTAAGTGTCAGGTTCAAGTTCGCGAAAAATATGATTTGCCTGTCGCGTTGGCTGCTGGGTGTTTTGAGCTCCCCGTGTTACTCGTGAACGGCAACAGCAGTGGCTCCAAAGCGGCCCTTGCGTTGGTGGCTGCCACCCTAATGAGATGCCACGACGTCGCGTGATTGCACACTCACCTTGGGGTGCAGGCACAGACACGCTGATGTTCTCTGTGGCTGGTACAGGGGAGGGCTCCGGCCGGCCATGGGGAAGGCAGCAGGGTTGCGTGCAGAGCCACTCGTCGGCCGCCGCCAGCACCTCGTTGGACGAGGTGGGGGCCAAGACCGTGAGGTCGTTGCCGGACGAGGTGCCCTCTGCTCCGCACGCCACAGTCGTGGTTGGGTCCTGCCACACAACGTAGTCAAAACATCCACAATTATTCCTCCCATCTGGACTGGGATCCCAACACACGTGGGACTGTTCTATCACCAAAAGAAATACAATTTTAGTCCATGAACCTATGGGAGATCTGCATGAATTGTCTCAGAAGCAAATATATATTTACAGTATACACCTGTATTTTTAAAGTAACCCCAAACTCACTTTAACTCGTAAAATATTATATGAAGAACGGCCATTGACTAAAGATGAACTAATTCAATTTGTTGTTATGCATGCGAGAGAGAAGGCAGCTGTAGTTTAAAAGAGGTCATAAATGCATTTCAGAAGATAAATCGAGCATTCATGTTAATCAAATTCATTTTTAACATTTGTTAAAATTAAACTAAATAATCCTCCGTGATTTGTTCAAATAAATACACTAATCCTGATTTTTCGGCCACCCTCTTACAAACGACGTCATGAAGGGCCAACTGTGATGTGCTCTGAAAAAGGGGCATTAACTGAAACGTCGCTTTTATATATTTAAGAATACTTTATATATGTAAAACACGTTTATACGGGAGGAATCCGATGAGCTATAAAGCTCTTTTTCACAGATGTCCAGTCGGGGCGGGTAAGAATGTTACAACAACGAACAACACAAACATCATAGGAGTGCAAAATACAGATTGGCCCAAAAGTTAAGACACAGGGTTACTTGATTTATCTTAACACTGACATTACATAGTTCTCATTATTTATTCGTAAAGTTAACAATTTAACTATCATTAATATTGATAACATCCTCTGTGACTGGTTCAAATAAATACGGTAACTTTGTGTCCTGACTTTTGGGGCAACCTTCTATAGGCGACGTTATGTAAATGAAAACAAATATTTGTGATGTGCTCTGCAGAAGGGCCATTGTCTGAAACGTCGCCTATCATTTTCCTGTAACAATTCCCCCACCCCCATGCACTCCCAGCGTTGTGATTGGCTGAGTGGCGCCAGCGGGCCCCGCCCCGCCCGCCACCCGGGCCCCGCCCCCTCACCTGAGGCTCCGCCCCCAGACGCGGCCCCGCCGCCGCCTGCGCGGCTCCCGTCAGCTCCGGCACGGCGACCCGCGCCGCGCCTCGGGCTTCATCCGGGGAGGGGGTCCCGGGCACAGCCCCGCGGGATCCCTCGCGGGGGTCGCCAACTGCAAGAAGAAGGAGAAGCAGAAGCACAGCGATCACATGTTACACTGCGGACAAACACACGGCTCTACATTTCCCACTGGAGACAGACATGGGCCTGTCGATCGCTTCTGAAGAACTAAATAGCTCAGTGGGCTTCACCTGGTTTAATAAAAAAAAAATAACCCGTAAAAACAAAGTTTTTCACTATAAATCCTTTATATGCGTGGCATCAGTTTCATTTTATTATTCATTTCTGTTTTTATTGAGTAAGAGTTTCATTTTTATCACATTGGTATTTTAAATAACATATGAATTTTTATTTTTCCTAAAAAATTAAACATTTTTTTACGAAAATAAATTGTCACACACAGCGAGTCTGTGTGCAAAATGCCAGCTCGATTGGATCACGGGAAGTGGGTTAAAAAGACGACCGAAAGATTTGCACGGTCGTAAGCGCGCAAGCAAGCAAGCGCGCAAGTGAACTTAATATAAAGGATTTAAAAAGAGTGGAGCTCATTTCGTTTTCGGGATTAACTTACTTTTCTCATACTTTTCACTTGTTGTTATTGGTGTAATTTCCTGAAATCGTTTAAAAGAGCTTTATAGCTCATCGGATTTATCCACGATTAATAAAGTTCATGATTTTGAATTGGTGAGTGACGGTTGGTAACTTACGGGTGGTCCATTGCCCCCCCCCCCCCATTGCCCCCCCCCCCCGTATGACGGTTGGTCACTCACGGGGGTCCTTTGCCCCCCCCCCCCCCCCCCCGTGAGTGACGGTTGGTCGCTCAGGGGGTCCTTTGCCCCCCCCCCCCATTGCCCCCCCCCCGTGGTGACGGTTGTCAACGCGACCGCTTCACCCCGACACGAATCACGGCCTACAACGACCACTTGGCCCAACCCCAAACCCCACACGCAGAGCTCGGCGTTTCGAGCCTTTCGAGTGACTATTTATCGCGAGATTGGTTATTTAAAGCGACCAACACGCAATTAAACCATACGGGTGGTGCTGCTGCTGCTGCTGCGTGGGCAGTGGCGAACAGGTTGCACCAGAACACAACCACTCAGCACGATCCGTGTCGATAGCGACACTGCGGCCTCCACAGGTGCAGGGGCACGTGGGTCATGGCCCCACTTCAACAGCGCCATCTATTGTGTCTGTTTCCCTTCGCAGCAGTGCTGTTGACGTGCTGTCGATTTAGTTTCACGTCGTCTTCTGACCAAATATGGACGAATAAATACTTTAACGATCGTTTTACCTCATCTATGTACAAAAACGGTACATTATTGAATGTGTCTGTTCGAAATGTTTAACATACTTCCCAACATGCAACAAACTTGATATTTGGCATGTGGGCAACTTCCAGACAGTACGCAATGGGAAAAATATAAAAATAGACTTTTGTATTTGGGGGGGGGGGGGGCACAATAATGATACATTTTGCACGGCCAGGGAGCGGTGACGTCACGCAGTATGCCTAGTGACGTCACGCAGTGTGCATACTGACGTCACGCACCCCCCCCCCCCCCACCCTCCGCGTATTAATCCAAGACAATAATCCAAGTCCCGGGCGAAGCCGGGTAGTAAAGCTAGTACAATATTAATTCTAGATCTAGTACAATATAATTAGAGTCACGTAGGTATATATTTTAATAAATTAAATCACGACGTTTCGGGCGCAACACAAGTGTCCGTCATCAGGTGGGACAACCACAGCAAGAAACAATTGCTGAAGTCCGTGACTTTACCGAAAGAACCAAAGAGTATGGATCCCTGCAGTCACGAAAATATCAAATCTAGAATATAATTAAACATTTAGCTTATTCTACTGTGCTGCCTGTCTCGTATGTGGTGTGCGTGTGTGCGTGTGCAGGTGTAGGGCTGTTATGGAGGGGCTGTTTGTACATAAGATCAAACGGCGAACAAACACAGTGGGCGGAGCTCCGGGAGTAAGCGAGGGGGGGTGCCCGCAACGACGTCCGCATCGGGCAGCCTGGGGGTAGGGCTGCCCGGGGTTGTGATCCTGGAGGGGGTATAAAAGGGGATGACAGAGAGAGCTCGAGGCTCAGTATTAGAACAAAGGAGGGAAGATTGAAGACCCGGGTAGCTAGAGCCCTGGACTCCCCTGAGACGCCGCCCTTGTCAGGGCCGCGCAGGACCGAGCCAGCGGCGTGGTCCCGTGAACCAGAGTCAGCACTCTGGGATTCCGGGTACCGTAGCCCGACTCACCAGTGTCGGGCCAGACAGCCTCCCCTAGCCCGTTAGTGGAGGACTCGGGGTAGGTCAGGGATAGCTAGTGGTGTATCCCCAGTTATACGGGTGAGGGGGCCGATACCCCCTCCAGTGCTGTCCTGTCGTGACGACCTGTAAAATAAATACACGTGTGCCTCAACCTCGGTGTCAAGCGTCCTCACCGGTACTTCACAGGGAAGAAATTGACATTTTTGGGGTAAAAATGTTGATAATTTCCCTTTAAAAGTCCGACGCTCACCTTGGGGAAGCTCTCGTGGCATAATCGGTCGATGGGATTCTCAGGTTGTTGAAAGTGTCGCCGCTGTTCACGTTCAAGAGAGCAGGGACGACGCAGAATCACACAAACACGTCTGCTCTTCTCGCCGTGCTGGAGTTCTGTGCCCGTTACGGGCCTCACGTGACCGTCGTGTCCCTTGGCAACGACCGCGATCATCAACATGGCGACATTCAAACTCGGCACGTGGTCCCTCGTCATCGTTACAACGTTGGAGACGCGAGAGGCACGTGGGGGGCACGGGAAGGGGCTCGTGGGGGGCACGAGGGGGGGGGGCTCGTGCCATCTCCCCCCCCCCCCCCGTGAGTGACCAACCGTCACCCCGTGAGTGACGCTGGTCAACGCGACCGCTGCTGGGTGGGCAGAGGCGGCCGGGGGCGGGAGGGAGAATGAATACACGTGGCCCCATCGTCTTGACTGTCAGCGAGTTCCTCTGATTATTACTCTTATTACTATTATCACCGTGGTCAATAGTAGCTCTGTATCCTATAATGCTGCTCTCTGTTGTGTGTAACGTGCAAGGTTTGCAGAAGTGTGTAACTCTGTGCAGTGTGCTCAAATGTGCATTCACGTGTTCATTGGAGAAACTTCGCCCCTTGTTAATGCGTGTCAGTGTTTATGTCTCCTAGAAGATTGGATGTTTTCTGAGAATCAAGCAGCACGAGTATTTGATTGTGACATTTTATTTTAAACCACTGTTTACTTCAACGGCTTCAATATAATTTAATTATCATCATGATGATGATTAAAATATAAAAGTCTTCATACCCTTTCCGACAATAACACAGGAGGTGTTACGAAGCGCAAACACCAAATAGACACCCCGACTACAGGGCATCGAGTCTGCATTGACCACACGTCGCGCTTGTGGTCAAGCATCCAAAGCGACGTGCTCTGATGATGCACGCCTTGTCCCTGACACGACAGTGGCCTCCAGCAGAGACGTCCTCCTTCATGGCCTTGACCCACCCACCAGTTGTCAGGCCAGAGAACAACGACACGAGGAGGCGATCGGCAGCACAGATGCGATGCAAACACCAATCCGTGAATGTGCGGTTAATGCAGACTCGACGCCTTGCAATCGGTGAGTCCATTTGGTGTTTGGGCGTCTTGACACCTCCTGCGTTTACACCATTGGAATATCATTTGCCAGTAAAAAATTATGATAATTGGCTTTTTACCCTTTTATCATCTGGTCCAACCCATGTGAGACTAGGCTCTAAGGAAAGCTGTCTCGGGTGTGGACCATCAACTTCAAGGACAGTGCACATTATCAGAGTTATGTTTTTTGTTTCCATCATGACTGCAGGTATTGTGGTCTATGCAAACATGACTCCTTGTAAAAAGGTGTCAGTTTTGTTGCCAGATAGAAGGGTAAAAACCCAATTATCACCTCCTGCGTTATTTCCGGAAAGGGTAAAACGCCTCTCTTCTGCCGACATCGCCATGTCGATACCGGCAACACAACTGGTCCCGTGGATGTGTAGCTCGTGATGTATATAGTGTATGCGGAGAGACAGATATGAAAGAGACTACGCCACTTGATCTGTTTCTATTTGATAAGCTCCTACCACTGTGAGGCAGTCGAGGCGTTCACTTGTGTGGGGTGCCACGGTGGCGAGGAGATGTTAACTTCCTCGCGTGGTATACAGGAGGTCGTGGGTTCGGTTCCGATTCTGACTCCTGCTGTTGTATATTTGGAGTTTGCGGTTTCTCTCTCCCCGTGATCGCGTGGATTTGTCTCCAGGTCCGTTTTCCCTCTACATTTAACAAACACGCGTCTCTTTATTTGCGTCTGCCATAAATGTCTCCGTGATAAGCCACTTCGTTGAGCTCTCACTTGTGACAGCCAGGCCGCTGCTGAAAAAAGAAACTCTACATAGCTCAGTGGGGCCTTACCTGGTAATTTTAAATATAAATACTTTGCTTTAGTTTATAATCTCAACCAGCACTGCTTCGCATTGAGCTGCATGCGACTGCACTGGCAGTGGTCTGTCTACAGACACAGGACTCACGAGGTGGCCTTTGCAGTCACGTCAGCTCATTTTCCCTCGAGCAAGAGACGACGGTGGTTGACTGTACGGTCCACAGCTTGAGTCGCGCTGTGGCTGCTCTTTAATGTACCTCTCTCTCTGCGAGTCTCTTATGGGTCTCTACGAGTCTCCATGTATCACAACGTGTGTGTGGGTTTGCTCTACGGTCCACAGCTTGAGTTGCATGACCACAGTCGCACTCCTGCTGCTGCGTGTTGTGGCTCGTCTCTAATGTTCCATTCGTTAAAACGTGCGCATCGTTCCGTTGATGTTCTGGTGCGGTTCCTGGTGACAGCGGTGTATTTGCGGAGGATTGTCCATGCCAGGAGGTGTGCGGTGGTTGATGCTTGGGTCTCGAACGCGGCGTTCATTCCGGACGTCCATGCTGTTCCACCGTTCGCCGGCGATCTTCCAGATCTGTGCGAGAGCCACAGCCCCGATCGATCATAGGTTTATCCACGTACTCGATAGCAGCGATTTCTCAACCCCTTTCATTGCAACGGGACACTTTCGAGCTCGCTCGATCTTCACGGCGGACCGAACCAAAGAGTCGGTCCTGCTAATTAGCACAACTTTGTGGCGGCACACCGCTCGAGATGCCACGAGGAGGTTGGGGCAGCTCAGAGGTCCTAGCGCCGAGCCGGCGCCACTGACACCGTGGGTTGGAGTGAGGGCTGCAGCCACTGCCTGTGATTGAACGGGTTCTCGAGTTTAACGAGTGGATGGCTTTGGCCCAACTAACAATGACTGCACCCATCAAATGTGTGTATACATTTTAGAATCAGGATTTTTACTTCATTTGGATAAATTCCACCGAAACATGCAATAAACGCCAATGTCGCAGCAGTGCGTTTGAAGGGAGGGAATGGGAGAGGAGGCCATGGGGGTGACGAGGGCCCGTCAGCAGCATAGAGCTGTGGATGAAGAGGAGAGAGTTGTGTGTGAAGGAGGGAGCTGTGTGTGACGGTGAAGGTGGAAACAATTGACTGGAACCCTTCCCTGTCTCCGCATGTTGGCGAGGGTAGCGTTGGCTACACCGTGCAGAACTCTCCGATGTTGCCCCCTGTAATGGGGGATTAGCCGTGAACATTCGTGTGTCCCCCTCTTGAAAGCCTTTTTGGGAACGTGTATTTCTCGTTTTCTTCCATGCAAGAGAGTTGCGAGGTCATATTCGTCGACGTCAAGGATCGGGCAAACCTGCGTCTCCGAAGCCACTTGCAGCTCTTTAAGCGACCGCTTCGTGCCGCTATTTATTAAGGACCCACCGTCTTGTATTCACGTGGCATGGCGGCTCTTGAAATTAAGATAGATGTTTTTTACTATCATTTACCAAATTAGAAAAATACAACGGCCCGTCCGTGCGGAAAGCGGCGTCATGTCGCGTGTTAAAAATAAATTGCTCGTGAATTCAAAATTGGTTCCACGACTCGTGACGGCCAAACAGCAGCGTGCTGCCACGCCTGGGAATGACCATCAAGGAGGAGTGAGCAACAGGAGCCTTGCGATGCGACCGTGTCAGCCACCACCACGACCACAGACTCTGCGGGACGCGTGTGTACTTTTTATTCGAAACAGAATATGTACAAAACACAGACGAGAGAACACGTTATTTTTGGAAGTGCCGTCTGTAAAAAAAAAACCTATACACCCCCCCCTTAACCCATTTCTGGTGCTGAGCGCACGCAGCCTTCGTGTAACAAAACCCATCATCGTTACCATCGTCGTAATCATCATAATCGATTAAAAAAAACAACCCCCTATCCCACCCAAGCTCCTACAGCTAAACGATACCACGCCCTCGAAACGTTTTGCGTCGACGGTATAAAACCCACCTCCCTGCCCCGCGCGTTTCATAATCATTGAGGGCGAGAGCGATCGTGGTGTAAAAGAAGAGGCGCTTGGAGAACACGAGAGACGCACACACGGACGGACAACACGAGACGACACGAGAGCGGCGACGGGCTACGGCGACGATCACAGCGCTGAGATGACGGACGACGATGCCGCCACGAACACACGTGTACAGAGCGACACAGCCACACGCGCCCGTGCGCATACACGGCCACGCGTGGCCACGTGTGGAGGGGGGCGGGGCGGAGGTGGTGGAGGGGCGATACCGAGAGCCTAAACCTCCGTGGTCATCACCTCGATAGTCATCTCATTGAAGGCCACCTCTGATCATCTGTGGTCACCTCCACGGTCATCATTTCGATAGCCATCTTGATGATCATGTCTATGATCATCTCCATTATCTTCACGGTCATTTCGAGGGCCATCTCCATGATCTCCATGGTCATTTTCATGATCTCCATTGTCAACTCCATGAATATATCGATGGTAATTTCCATGATCATCTCGATGATCATCTCCATTATCATATCTATGATCGTCTCCATTATGATGTCGATGATCATCTCAATTATGATTATCTCCATTATCATGTCTCCATCATCATCTCCATGGTCATTTCCATTTTCACATCGATTATCATCTCCATGGTCATCTCGATGGTCATCTCCATGGTCATCTTGATGGTCATCTTCATGATCATCTCCATGATCATATCGATGGTCATCTCGATGGTCATCTCCATGCTTATCTCCATGAACATCTCGATGGTCATCTACATGATCATCTCCATGATCATTTCGATGGTGATCTCGATCGTCATCTCCATGGTCATCTCCATGATGATATCGATGGTCATCTCCATGATATCGATGATCATCTCCATGGTCATCTCGATGGTCATCTCCATGGTCATCTCGATGGTCATCTCCATGTCAATCTCCATAATCATCTCCACGATCATCTCGATGGTCATCTCCATGGTCATCTCCATGATCATCTCGATGGTCATCTCCATGGTCATCTCCATGATCATCTCGATGGTCATCTCCATGATCATCTCCATGATCATCTCGATGGTCATCTCGATCGTCATCTCCATGGTCATCTCTATGATCATCTCGATGGTCATCTCCATGATCATATCGATGATCATCTCGATGGTCATCTCCATGATCATCTCCATGATCAGCTCAATGGTCATCTCAATGGTCATCTCGATGGTCATCTCGAGCATAAGCGAAACGTCCTACTCTGAAATGGTAATTTTCGTGGTTTGACGCTTGAACACACCGGTGGGCTAAAGCAGTGAACTATTAGTCTTTTATGAACGGGACACTTTCTTAGTGATTGGCCGTGGGGGGTGGTGGAGGGTTAGAACACATTAATAAAGAAGGCGATGTAAAGGCAATAAGGTTGTTTGTTATTAATGTTTGGCAAAGCGTACGTGTTACAAAATGACTGACTTTACTTATTAACCAGGCTACAGTGTACATGATAGACTGGCAGTACAAGCACCGAGCTTAATAAGCAGGCTACAGTGTACATGATAGAGTGGCAGTACGCTCACCCAGCTGAATGACAATGAGTACAGTGAAGATGTGAAGAATCGATTATTGGTGCGTGGGGTTTAAACATAATGATACATTTGTTTTCCAATCCTAAATGGTAATTGTAGTGTTGTAACGCTTGAACACACCGGTGGCGTAAAGCAGTGAACTATGATTGGTTCATCAACGGGACACTTTAGTACTGATTGGGCCGTGTGGGGTGGTTGGAGTGTTACAGCACGTGAATAAAGAAGGCGATCTAAACAGAATTACGGTGTTTATGAATAATGTTAGCGAAAGCCTAAGTGTTAGCAATCTACTAACTTAATAAAAGAACCAGGCTACAGGCAACATTATAGACTGGCAGTACACCCACTGTGCTTCATAAGCAGGTTACAGTCAGCATTATAGACTGTTAGTACACTGAGGCAGCTTAATAAGCAGGCTACAGTCTACATTATATACTCGCAGTGCACTGACGCAATGTAATAATGAGGCAACAGTGCACGTTATATACTGGCAGTCCGCTCATCCAGCTTAATGACTATTTGCACAGTAAACTTTAAAATAATTTATTTTTTGAGCGTGGGGTTAAAAAGTAATTAGACAGTAGTTTTGTCATTGGTATGTAATGTTTAAAAGATTTTGTAAGATTTAAAATGTATTGTCCGGCCGGGCAACGCTGGGTATATGGACTTTATACGACAAAGTCGTCGCTTGACACGGGTGGGGTGTGGAGGCGTAGTACTGCGCAGAGCCTCCGGCGTCGGCAAAATAGCCTGGCAGGCATGCGGCTGTGTCGGGGTGGTCTGTCCACGTGGGGCTCCCGCGCCCCCCTGTCAGACACCAACATGGACTCGTCCATCGCTGGTCCCACCTCCCCCACGGAAAATCATCGAAGTCAACGTACAGTAGGACAGTCCACACAAGCGGCATCAACAACAGCAGCAGCAGCAGCCGTCACCATTCGCCACTAAGTGGCGGTGACGTCCCCGCGGCGTTGGTGCCAGGCTAGGTGCACTCTTAGGCCACGCGAAGTGTCGAAGGCTCGCTGACAGGAGGTCACGGGGCAGAACCCTGCAGGTGCCATGGGGTTGACCGACTCGAGATGGCTGCAGACGCCACCAGCTGTGCCAACTCGCCGCGTTTTAGCCGCCCGCCTCTCCGCTCGTTGTTGTGAGCGTCCCTCACGAGCCTCCTCCTCCACAGAGGCCGATCTTGACACCGCCGGTACCGCTCATCGGCAAGTCCACTCAGCTCCACATCCTCCAACCAGGTACCTTTGTAGACCCGCAGTGATGCCCCATGCCGTGTTGGCAGTCCACTGCTGGATGAAGGCTTCGGGTCGCCACGGTGGCTAGGAGATGTTAACTACCTCGCCCGGTGTGCAGGAGGTCGTGGGTTCGACCCCGACGCCTGCTGCTGCTGCTGCTGCTCTAGATGTGGAGTCTGCGGTGTCTCTCTCCACGTGGTCGCGTGGATTTCTCTCCCGGTGCTGCGGTGTTCCCATCCACATTTAGAGTCGACGTGTTGAGAATATTTGGTGCTCTAAATGTCCACGCGAGAAGCCACTTTGTTGAGCTATCATCTGTGGCCAGGTCGCTTCTTATAAAAGCGCTATGGAGCTCAGCGGGACTTACGTGGTTAAAATTAAAAATATAAAAAAAATTAATCCGTAAAAACAAAGTTTTTCAATATAAATCCTTTATATGCGTGGCGGCTTGAGTCTTCTCGTCCTCTGGCTTGAGATGGCTGCCACCTAGCCATCTCGTGGTTGAAATAAAATAACAGTAAAAATAACAGCACCACCATTCCACGTACACAACATCTGCCGTGATCCTGACTGCAGTGCTCTCCTCGATATGGTCGATGAAAGTGAACTACGTGACGGCCGCTACGTTAAAAGGTACCACCTTGATGAGTCTGCGACTATTCCATCCAGAGTTATTGTCAAAAAACCACAAACATCCCAGAATCCTCTTCGTTTGGGGTCCAAATGTTGTCGCTTATTATATCCCATAAGAAACGTCGCATCGAATCAATGTAATTGAATTCTACTCGCCTGGACGAGCGGAATTGAATGGTGAAACTGGTTTTGCTGTGCTGTGTTAAATCAGATATTTGCATGACTGCATGTGTATTATTTTGAGAATAGCAAAAAACCGTCATCCCCATATTACATAGTGTTTTATTGGTCGCTCGTCTATTTCACTTCCCACAGCTTAACCACTCATATATTTTGATGCCGCTCGACGAGGCGAGTAGTACGAGTACCCCCTTGATGAGTCTGCGACTATTCCATCCAGAGTTATTGTCAAAAAACCACAAACATCCCAGAATCCTCTTCGTTTGGGGTCCAAATGTTGTCGCTTATTATATCCCATAAGAAACGTCGCATCGAATCAATGTAATTGAATTCTACTCGCCTGGACGAGCGGAATTGAATGGTGAAACTGGTTTTGCTGTGCTGTGTTAAATCAGATATTTGCATGACTGCATGTGTATTATTTTGAGAATAGCAAAAAACCGTCATCCCCATATTACATAGTGTTTTATTGGTCGCTCGTCTATTTCACTTCCCACAGCTTAACCACTCATATATTTTGATGCCGCTCGACGAGGCGAGTAGTACGAGTACCCCCTTGATGAGGTCTGCGACTATTCCATCCAGAGTTATTGTCAAAAAACCACAAACATCCCAGAATCCTCTTCGTTTGGGGTCCAAATGTTGTCGCTTATTATATCCCATAAGAAACGTCGCATCGAATCAATGTAATTGAATTCTACTCGCCTGGACGAGCGGAATTGAATGGTGAAACTGGTTTTGCTGTGCTGTGTTAAATCAGATATTTGCATGACTGCATGTGTATTATTTTGAGAATAGCAAAAAACCGTCATCCCCATATTACATAGTGTTTTATTGGTCGCTCGTCTATTTCACTTCCCACAGCTTAACCACTCATATATTTTGATGCCGCTCGACGAGGCGAGTAGTACGAGTACCCCCTTGATGAGTCTGCGACTATTCCTTCTAGAGGTATTGCCAAAAAACCACAAACATCCCAGAATCCTCTCCGTTTGGGGTCCAAATGTTGTCGCTTATTATATCCCATAAGAAACGTCGCATCGAATCAATGTAATTGAATTCTACTCGCCTGGACGAGCGGAATTGAATGGTGAAACTGGTTTTGCTGTGCTGTGTTAAATCAGATATTTGCATGACTGCATGTGTATTATTTTGAGAATAGCAAAAAACCGTCATTTCCATATTACATAGTGTTTTATTGGTCGCTCGTCTATTTCACTTCCCACAGCTTAACCACTCATATATTTTGATGCCGCTCGACGAGGCGAGTAGTACGAGTACCACTTTGATGGGTCTGCGACTATTCCTTCTATAGCAGGGGTCTCAAACTCAAATTACCTGGGGGCCGCTGGAGGCAGTATCTGGGTGAGGCTGGGCCGCATCAGGTATTCCACAAAAAAAACTTTGCTAAAAAAATCAAACTTCTCAAATGTCATTACTAACAGTTATTTAACTTCAATGGGTTCTTCTGAACATGAATAGAATATTGAAGAACATGAACGGTTCTCATGAACATGGCTTCTCTTGCCTACTTCTTGCTGCCGGAGACCTGGCAGCGCTTCCTCTCACATAGCTGAGCCACATTTGGCTTGAGGGAGGAAGCAGTTGCGACCCTCAGTATGGCTTGAAGATGATCATCAGTAAGTCTGGACCTGTACTTGGACTTATTGAAGTTCAAGGTGGAGAAGAGCTTTTCACACAAATATGTGCTCCCAAAAAGGCACATGGTCCGCTTGAACATTCGGGAAAGCTCAGGGAAGCTGGGGTTCAATTCTCGCAAAAATTGCCCAAGCTTGTCGTCTTTCCCACTCGCCTCCCTGAACTTGGCTTTGAGGTCAGAGTTGCACTGCAGGTCAATGAGCTCCATTTGAAGCACAGGAGGGGCATCTTGCACATCAAAGGAGAAGGGATCCGCAAACATTTGAAAAGTGGCTCTGTGCGTCTTGAAGTCTGCAAATCTGTGATCAAATTCCTCCTGTAGCCTCAAAATGGCATCAACATACTTCTCACCACTGAATGGTGTGCCTGCATTCAGGAGTGCCTTGCATGCTGGGAAATGGCAAAGGTTTGTCTGAGAGAGCTGGGCTTTCCATAACACAAGTTTTGTGGAGAATGCTCTCACGTTGTCATAGGCAGCACTGACGAGCTGCCCCTGGCCTTGTAACTTCTTGTTCAGTACATTCAGCTCATGCGTGATGTCAACAAGAAAAGCGAAGTCCATGAGCCATTTGGGATCACTTAGCACAGGAACAGCCACCCCATCCTTCTTCCATGAAGGCTTTCACTTCTGCTCTCAACTCAAAAAATCTCTTCAAGACGTTTCCCCTGCTGAGCCAACGTACCTCGGTGAAGTAGAGCACATCCTCATATTCTGACTCCATTTCCTCTAAAAAAGTACGGAACATCCGGTGCTTTAAGCCCCTGGATCTGATTTGGTTGATGCATTTCACAACAACAGACATCACATTGTCAAACTTCAGGCATTTGCTGCAAAGGGCCTGCTGATGGATGATGCAGTGCAGAGCAATGGCCTCCTCCACACCCTCCTCTTCTAGTTTTCTTTGAACAAGTGCCACCAGTCCATTTCTCCTCCCTGTCATTGAATGCGCTCCGTCGGTTGTTATTCCAACAAACTTCTTCCATGGCAAACCGGCATTCACAATGGCATCACACAGCTGGCAAAATATCTCCTGAGCGGTGGTGTGGCCATGCATTGGAATTACTGTGAGCAACTCCTCCATCACTTCAAAATTGTCATCAACACCACGGACATATATTGTGAGCTGGGCAGTGTCAGTGATGTCTGAACTCTCGTCAAGAGCGACTGAGTATGCATTGAAAAATTTGGCTTTCTCACGCAGTTGATCATAAATGTCACTTGACAGGTCAGAAATGCGCTCTGCCACGGTGTTAGCAGAAAGGCTGATGTTGCTAAACTGACCTTTCTTTTCCAGACAGACTATACTTGCAGCCTGTAAGATGCACTTTTTGATAAACTCGCCTCCTGTGAATGGCTTTCCTGCCTTAGCAATCATCTCACTAACCACGTAGCTTACTTCGACTGCTGCATTATTCTCTTTGGTTGCTTTCTTGAAGACATTTTGTTGCCTCAGTAGACATGTTTTAAGATTAGCAACCCAGTTGGCTCTCTCATCTCCCTGGTATTTTGCATACTCCTCAGCATGTCTAGTTGAGTAATGACGTTTGAGGTTGTATTCCTTGTGCACCGCAACTTTTTCTGAACAAATAAGACACGTCGGGGTGCTCATGTGCTCAACAAAGAAATATTGCATCTCCCACTTTTCCTGAAATTGTCTGTGCTCGTCACCAACCTTTCTCTTCACTGCAGGCTTTGAAAAAGACATGATTGGGGCTGTGTGACAAGATATATCTTCATTCCACTTGCTGTCGCTCACGCAATAAAGTTTCAGTCAATTGTTTAGCCAACCAGCGACGCACGGAGACGTAATTTCCGCAAATTCACGTTATTTCCACTTTTTCCGCCTTTGCTCAAGATGCCACTTTATTAATCACTGACACAAAGACTGATACCGTCACTGCAGTATAGCCTAAATAAGTCCCACTGCATTGTAAGTGGCATGTGTGTGCTGTTTTAAGCGTCGTTTTACAGTGCGTTTCGGGACCTGTGCTCGTTGTACCTGCGCTGTCATATGTACTTAGCGTTCCGGCACCTTGTGATTTACAAATGAAGCACTGGATACATCATGACCTGCCCGAAAGAGAGCGGAAAACTATGAATTTCACCCTCCTGCTCTCCGCACATCCAAAGCCACTCTTTACTCTCCCGGCTCTCTCTCTCACTCACTCTCACACGTACACAAACACACACACGACCCCGCCCCCCATGTCACTCACATGCATGCCGCATTCACTGGACAGGCACACAGTAGGAAACCAGAGCATCATAACATTGTCCCACACAGCAGCTAACAGCGGGGTTGCTACAATATAAAACTCGCGGGCCGCACTAACATTAAACTTTCATATTAAGGTGGGGGCCACAAAATATCGTCCCGAGGGCCGCAATTGGCCCGCGGGTCGCGAGTTTGAGACCCCTGCCTTAGAGCCTAGTCTCACATGGTGTTGGACTAGATGACGCCTTTTGGCGTCAGGAAAGCTGTCTCGGGTGTGGACCAATCAACTTCAAGGACAATGCATACATTATCAGAGTTATGTTTTTTGTTTGCATTATGACTGCAGGTATTGTGGTCTATGCAAACATGACTTCTTGTAAAAAAAAGGTGTCAGTTTTGTTGCCAGATAAAAGGGTAAAAAAACAATTATCATATTTTTCTACTGGCAAATGAGGTTCCAAAGGTATGTACACAACAGAGAGCTAACTGTGTGGTTGCTTTTGGGATTTCACGCTGCCCTTTTTGTTAATGGCCAGCTTTCAGCATTGCAAAATGGCATCGTTTGGCAGTGTTGTGACTCGCACATTTATGTTCTTGCTTGTGCTTGTGGCTGACCGCAGCCTTGATCCCAGCCCTGCAACAACCGTGACCTCAACACAGACTCCACGCCTATCTTCTTGCACGATACCCATAAAGAGGAGATTCTACATCAGGTGAGAACCTGCTCAGTTCCTTTTTCAAACAGCTAACCAAATTAATGACGCAACTAACGTGATATGTTTGCACGTCCCACCAGAATGGCGTGCGCGATGGCAACCCCAGTGCTTGAGCCTAGCAGGGACTTCCCGGCGTGGCTGGAGGCGCAGGGCGTGAACGAGGAGGTGGCCCGGGCCATGGACTCTGAGCTGGGCATCCGGGACTACGGGGTCCTGCGCGCCTGCATCGGGGACGGCCTCGTGCGTGCCGAGCTGCTTTCCACGGCGCGCGACCGCCTGCCCTTCGGCTTCTACGCCGTGCTGCGGCAGGTGGTGAAGGCCCTGCAGGGTGCCGAGCTCCACAACGCTGGGACGTCACCCTGGGACGCTGCGCCATCTCCGGGCGACGTGACGCTGGGAGGCCTGGTGGACGTGCTGCTCACACTTTTCAGCGGCTTGAGCCGAGAGCTACTGGTTTGCGCACAGAGGCTGGGAGACTTTGATGGTGCTGGGGCCAGTGCCGGACGCTCCATTTCGGACAGCAAGGAAATAATTTTTGAGGAAAAAGCAATGGATGATGCAGATGATCAAGATGTCGATGGTAAAAGTGCATTCGGCTCGCAAAGCAATAATATGTTTACGTTTAAAGTTGTACAATGAGATGTATTCACGCGGAGTATGATAAGTGACGTCGCGAAATGACGTCTAATGTAATGACATCGCCTTAGCAGACAAGGCCTTCAGTGCTGGTTGTCACCTATCCTTGTATCAATTTAGTCGATTTTATTATAGATAAGTTCATAATAGCAACACGACATTTGTGCTAAAATTTTGCTCATATTGGATCATCTTCACAGGAGTTATCGTGGCCTTCTGTTATTGGCAGACGATAGAGCAAATGCATTCACGCTAAACTAAACTATTCTTATTTTACCAGCTAAGGCCCACTGAGCTATATGGCTCTTTTTCAGAAGCGACCTGGCCACAAGAGTGATACCTCGACGAAGTGCCTTATCATCACGTGCAATTGTATGGCAGTCAAATACTTGAACGCATGATGTTGATTCTTAATGTTGAGAGAAAAACCAGAGGACCCGGAGAAAAATCCACTTGACCACGGGGAGAACACGCAACATCCAAATATACAGGCGTCTAGGTCGGGATCGAACCCACGACTTGTATACCAGGCGGGGTATTTAACATTTCCCCACGCTTTTCAACCTCATTTGTCAAGTCTATAAAAAAACGTTTTTGAGCCAGATACAACTACCTGCTCTTTTGGCAGAATCATTTCAAACTGATGAAAAAAAACACTTACGTGGTCGTATTTCTGCCAAATATTAGCCAAAGCAAGCATTGAGGCAGTGCTCATCTCTTTTTACAGCACTGATCCAATGGTGAATATTCCATATTCCTATGGCGGGGGCCAGGCTATTATAGAACAACAATTGTTAACTTCCCTACAAAGTCGTACTCATTTTATTGATCCCGGAGGGATGATGACCAAGTCATTCCACCGACCAGGATATAAAATTCCCAAACTCCCGATGGCGATCCGCTTGCTCTACTGCTGAACCACCTGGCCGGAACGCTTACGTCACTGATCATTTTCTTGGTTCTTTCGGTAAAGTCACGTAGAAGGGAAATAATAAAATAATGAGAATAAAACATAATAAAATACAATTCTCACGACGTTTCGGCCACAACACAAGCAGTCGTGAGAATAACATTTTATTATGTTTTATTTTTATTCTTTTATTATTTCCCTTCTACGTGACTTTACCGAAAGAACCAAGAAGATTAATCCCTGCAGTCACGAAAGCTTTAAATCAAAATTCACTGATCTTTGTTCATTTCTCCCCCTCCCCAAATGTTTGTGTGCCTTGCTCTTTGGCCTACACAGAAAATGATGGGCACACCCGGGCCTCATCAGAGGCAGGAGACTGCAGCCCAAACCCGTCGCTGCACATGATCAAAACCGAGGCAAGCTGCGCTGGTGAGTACTTTAAGACGAATAAAAGTGTACACTGTCCCATCCTATCTGTCGCCCCCTGTGATTGGCTGATTTGAGGAGACGAGGGTTTTAGTAACATGATGTGATTATGAAAAAATGACAAGGTTTGATAGAATAGCAAACTAAGACGAGGAAAAATCTTGAAGATGGAACAAACAGTTTTAGAAATGATCGTTGAATGCAGACTCCAGTGGTAGAACGCATTACAAAACCTTCAGAGGCGTGCACTCATCAGCGCGGTGAAGTATGGTTGGTTGAAGGACCCCTGTGACGGAGCACGGCGTGTGGAGGCCCTCTTCCAGCAATGGCTTGACAAAAATGGCTGTACATGTGTACACATGTGGTCATGTGCCGCCCAGGATAGAAACAGACACGTGCACGTGCGGAGGACCACGTGTACGTGCAAGTGTAATTCATCCTCAATAATGTTGAACGATTGCTGTTAATTTTTTTAAATTTACATTTTATGCATTTTTTTATTATGGTAAGCGCACAAGCCCGATAAAACGTGTCGATGATTTCTGCGGAGGGGTACAGAAAAACCAAGGGTGGCGGGGGAGGGGGACTTTTGGCACTTGAACATGTATAGGTGTGGGGAAGGAATGCTCGCTACCCCACCCTAACGGGGGGGGGGGGGGAATGGGAGCTTATGTTTATGGGGGGGGGGAAGATGAGCCGGGAGGAAGTAACCAACATTCTAGGGGGAGATCGGGTATAGTGGGAGGGGACTTGGAAATGGACCATGCTATAAATCATATAACATACATGCGGCTTTATGTGTTGGGGTGACAACCTCTCCTCTTCTGGGTCTGTGTTATCTCAACTGACGAAAGGATAAAAGTGGGGGTGGCGGGGGGGGGAGGGCAGTTCATTTACATTTTCTCTGATTGCTCTTTCCATCTTCTGTTGTTTTGTTCACGTTTACACACGATCGTTCACTTGATCTACGTAAAGTCTTCTGTAATTATCCGCCATCGCAGCCCAAGCTTCGGGCTGGGCACCTGTGAGAAAGAACTTCCCCTGGCTCATCCTGAGATGCAGCAGTGCCATTTTTAAATGTCTGCGTTAATCCACACGTCCGTTGTCTTCTGCCATTCAGACGGTGATCATCAGAGTCCCACGTCGGACCAGAGAGACTCCAGCCCCAGCCAGACGCCGCCCAGGATAGAAAGAGACGCGTGCGGAGGTAAAGATGAGTTGAAAATAAACAAATGTCTTACCGCGTGGAGATGTGACGATGCAAGCATTCATCGATTAATGTTGATTCTCACGCAGATACGTGCACTCAATTGTTTGTGTGGGAATGTTTTTTGCTTTTCGTATACGGCGAAATGTCCCGTGGTTAAAATTGTCTCCAATTATATTCGTGCCTTTGTTTCTCCAATCCAGTGCCATTATCACATTGCAACAGGTACTCATTTAAGGCCAAATCAACCTGGGTGGAGGGTCCCAGGACCGTTTCAAGAATCCTTAGATACTGATTTTCGCCATGGCTGGCAATCAAATCCATGTCGCCAGATTGGTATTGCAGTGCGCTAACCACTACGCCACTGCTCCCCCTCAAGACAAAGACAGACGCGCATGCCTAATGGACAAGTACTGCCCTTTTGTCAATCCGCTGCTGAATGAAGATAACCCCACGTTGGTCAGATCATGGGGGTTATTTGAACATACTTCATTGTTCCTGGTCAGTGCGGGTGGGTGAAGGAATTGATTTTGCCCTGTCGTGGCCATAAAATAAAACATATCCACAATATGACGTCTAAAGTGACTTCTCTGATTATTTTTCCCAAGGTAATGTGGGCTTTGTCATCCAACAAGTGACCTCGCTTCAGGAGATGGGACTGGACCTAACGAATGCAACCAATGTTGACTCCTATCCCTGGCTTCAACAGCAGCAGCAGCAACAACAGCAGCAGCTGCCGGTCGACAAAATACAAATTGACACTGGCTGCACGGTCCCGCCCATGTGTGCCGCTTACCTGCCCAAGCCGCTCACTGAAGATCACATTGACAGGCAGGATGAGGCACCGTCCAGGAGCGACACTCTGCCTCCTGCCGCCGCCGCCGCGTACCGCGTGCCGAACTTTAAGCTGGTGCGGCGGCGGCGCATGCTGCCGGTTCCCGTGCCGGCGATTGCGGGCGGTGAAGACAACAAGCCGTTCCGGTGCAGCGTGTGCGCCCAGCGCTTCTCGCAGCGCGGCAACCTCGAGACGCACCTGCGCACGCACACGGGCGAGCGGCCGTACCGCTGCGCGACGTGCGGACAGGCGTTCTCGCAGAGCGCCCACCTTAAGTCGCACCAGCGCACGCACACGGGCGAGAAGCCGTACCGCTGCAGCATGTGCGGGCAGAACTTTTCATACTACTGCAGTCTCAAGCGTCACCAGTACACGCACACGGGCGAGAAGCCCTTCCAGTGCTCGGAGTGCAATCGTGCATTCCTCGACCTGAGCAGCCTCAAAAGCCACCTCAACGTCCACCGACGCTACAAGCTCTCGCAGGGGCGGTGGCGGTGATGCTGGGATAATTGCCGCCGAGTCGAGGGTTGGATATAACACCGTGTGCGAAGCTCAAGCCGTTATCTTGGCTCAAGTAATAACCTTGAACAGAAAGCCTTGACTGAAACATACATAGCGAGTGTTTGTGGGAACCGTAATGCTAATCCTTCACGAATCCCCAGGCTCAAATCTATCTGGCTTGACCACCTGAATGTGAAATTGTAGTTGTTGCTCTGCGAAAGAAGAAGGCAAAACCAAATCCCTAGCCCCTTTCGTAATAAAACCTAGTCCTAATGCAATACAATACGAGCCCTAGCTTAGCAAAGACCTTGCCATAACCAACTTTTTCCTTACCCCGGAATTAATCCAAGGAATCCTTTAATGCTACCCCTAACCCTGACAAAATATTCTATCTCAAGTTTTAAACTCTAGCCACCTCTCTCCGAGCCACAGGCCACACTGTAATGTTTCCAATCATTAATTAATTAAGGCCAGGGTTGACAAACAAGGCATTGCTGTGAATACGGCGCCCGACAGGTGACGGATGAGCTTCACTTTTTGAAAACGCATGCCGTTACGGTGTCTTCGATGGACACCTGGTCTCGGTTTCAAATGACACTTGCGTTTCCCAATGAGCTCTTACTTGGTGAAACAAATCTGTTACTGACCAATGGCAACGAATGACCACCGAATGCCACCTCGGCTACAGGAACCGATGGATGGATGACGGATCGAAGGGATTCATGTGTTTTTACGGGAAGACAGACCAGGCAACACACAGCCGTTATGATAGATAATTGATGCACCGCAACAAGAGTGACAGGCTCATCACCAGTGATGATTTGTATCTGGGGCCAATAAGCCCATCCTTATTAACAACAGTTAACCCCCTGATGTGTCCTTCACTCATAGGCACTCGCGTTCAAGTTCAAGAGGTCATCATGGACAATGCCATTTATGCCATGCCACACCTCGCTGTCATTGCTTTCACTTCGGCCGGATCCTGCATTCCGGCAGATGGACTTAATGTTGAGGGTGTCGTTTTTTCACCTCACCCTCACTCCCCCTGCGTCTCTGCTTCTACAGAAGCAGAGCGAGGAGGAGGTGGGGTGGAACCACGCGGCGGCGTTCCCCATCGCGGCTGTCACCGTGGAACTGTGGCACCGGCACCCAGCCATCGGGGAGCTCCTGTTCGCTGACCTGCTGAGCAAGTGCCCCTACTTGGCCCCTTTCTTCCCTCGTCCCACGCCTGGGCAGAGCCAGGAGGACGCTTTCAGGTGAGGGCACTGGGGACATGGGGTGGGGGGTGGGGGGTGAGGAGTGAGGAGTGAACGGTGAGGGCTATGGGTGCACATGGCGTGTGCGTGATGCCCGTGTCTCCCCCCATCACCCGCAGGATCCTCGGTTACCGCTTCGAGGATGGGACACTAGAGGACGAAGACTTGTTCCTCCAGAGAATGTCGGGCATGGCGCGCCTGTACGCGGCCATCGTCTCTGCACCCGTGTCTCCCTCCAGTGGCGACAAGGTAGCCTCACCTTGCTCCAAGAATCAGACCTCACTCTCTTCGTCACGTACAGTTTGGTTCGCTCTGCTAGGCTACGTGTGACATTGTATGCATGCGATTTGCTTAAATCATAAGCCATTGGCTCCGTGTAGCGCAAGTACGAGAATGGGATTTTAAATTGACGAATCCCTCCCACCCCTACCCCACGCGCGTTGTGTGCGTGATTCGCAGAGCCACCCCCACGGCGTGAGTCACGGCTGGTCCTGGCTCACGCGGGTCCTGGATATGGAGCCCATGGCCAATGTCACCCCCACCGTGCTCTTCGGCTTTCTGGAGGTACGCAGGAGAGCACGCACGAGAGCACACTCGCATGAGCACACAGCTCGCTCACACAGCGCACGCACGAACACACGGCGCACACACACGAGCACACGCACGAGCACACAGCGCACAAGCGTTGTGATAGAGACGAGGCTGCCCTGTGACTTGTTGACGTGCTCCTGGCGTGTGTGAGCAGGTGGCAGGCAGTGCCATGGAGGTTGCATACGGCGATCAGCTCTGGGAGCTGCTCGATGTGTTAAGGAAAGAATACATCCCAAGGTACCTCTCACCCAGTGGCAGAACCTAGTCACCATCTCACCTTCACAGAGCCATTTATATTTGCACGTGTTCCTTGCATTTACGCCTGAAGTCGCGATTTTCTTTCTGTTTTTATGTTGTGGCAATAGACTGAATCACCTCGTCAAGTCGCCAGCTAATATCAAAGTAGCATTGCACTTGGACAAAGAGAAGGGTCCTTACACAGCCGTAACTTTCCCCTGCGGATCATAAACTCTGGCTCTTGGAAGACTCTTCACCAGCCCAGTTTTGCACCCACAGCAATTGGCAGGGAGGCAGTAGCGATGTGATCGACGTGACTGAAGTCAGCTGTCGACAGCAGGCTCCCGTGACAGTGTGTCTCTGAACGAGCTTCAAGCTGTGGTTGGTGATGCTCACCGGTTATGGACTGGAGCCGGGAGTTTGTAAGAATCGATGGATGTGCAACTAAACTCGCTGCGTCTGTTCTTGTCCTGCAGAATCGAGAAGGTGTCCACCCCGCAGCAGATGGGAGCTGTGGTCAGACTGAGGCTGTTCCTCGAGGTACCGGCTTTGACGACACAACTTTGACACATGCATATATTTTCCAGTGTCGTTGTCAAGACTCGCACAGCAATATGTGTAACATTACCTTAAGTCATAACAGCTGCGGAAGTTGACATCACGTAATGATATCTGAAGTCACTCAGGAGCTCCCTTTATCCATACTCGCAGCAATAGCCATCTTATCCTGAGTGGGCACATTGCGAGTTGGTCAGGAGACGTCAGTACAGCAGCGGATTTAACTTAACTATGCGGAGCTGTGTTTATCCAAATATGTTATGGGTTTTCTCCGGAGACTCTGGATTCTTCCCAATCGACAAACTTGCCTTCACGGAATTCGCCAAACATCCCAAAACAGGGCCATCCTGAAGTAGTGTTAACACTCAATGTGGCCGAAGTTACATTCATTCAGGGCATAGTTAGTACCATGTGTGTGGGTGTAATTATTGTCAAAGAATTTGTAAGTACATGTCAATCACATGAATGTTAGAGTTCGAAAATCCAAATTAGATGAAAACCTGAGTTGAACAAAGGTATTTTTCTTTGTGAAGTTATCTGTGACCAGGATAATACCTTTAACTCGCTACACTTGAGACTCCGGTTTAATCACAGGTGGCTGAAACCTCAATTCAAACCCAGGATCTGAGTGGTGCTGGCTTTGCACTCAAACACATAATTAGCCCCATATCCACTTAGTCACTTAATGCAAATTTTTCCGTGTCGGGAAGTTGGGAAACACTTCCCAGAAATAAATTAGTAATTCTCCTTTCATCGTGGCATGCGTACACACAAAGGGAGGGTTAATCGTTAATTGCCTGAATCACCAGGTCTCCCCTTCACACGGGGTTTCGAGTACATCATCAGGGATGTGTGCCAGTCCTACCCCAGGCTTGTGTATAACTCACAAATGACATCATTCCCAACCGCATTACACCAGGGATAGTGGGTGAGGTCATTACAATCATCGACCTCACACCTGAATGGGAGGAGCAGGAGGATGGGTGAAAGGTGATTGGCCAGGAGGGTTGAAGGGGAAAGGCAGGGAAGGGTTGAGGGAAGAGCTCGATGGTGGATCGGGACATTTGCCAGGCAACTCTTCACGCGTGTGCCGGACTGATCAATAAACACACAAATAGAACAACCACGCACGCGTCTAGAACTTCTCTACAAGTTCGGTTTGGGCTGAAAAAGCCTCTGACCGGCGTGCATTGCTTCCTGCACAAGAATCATCAGCTACATTAAAATAACTTTGTAAAATATTCACGTTAACAGCACTCAAGAGACCAGAGCGAGGCATTCTATTGGCACGCTGCCACTGGTTGGCCCTTCAAACCCCACGTGGGGCTGCTGGGCTGCCAGGAGTGTCCACATTAATCCCTGTGTGTGTGTGTTGTGTTTGCCTGCAGGACTGTTTTGTTAATCGGGAGATTCCTTTGCCAAGCGGGCATCTCTCAGAAGAATTTCGGAAGGCTTAACAAGATCACCTTCACACCTGTACATTATGTAAATATATATTTTTGTATGTAAGTAAAACCCTACGTGTTCAACTGTCAATTATTTATTCGTAAATGAAATAAAAATCCTGAAATTGTTACATTTTGTCATGGTTGCTTGTGTAATGTAGGAATTTGGGCGGGCGACGACTTGACGGGTAGCACACTTTTATTAACACCAACTCACTAACACGTGTGACCAACTGCAGCCATGCTACGAGGTTCCCCCGGCTACACACACACGGGCTCTTACGCCCCGTAGCTTCTAGGGAACCCACCCCAACTGGGGTCTGGGTCTCGACCACTGGGTCCCACAGCCTCGCCCTTACAAGGACGTCAGGCCGCGGGTCCCACGGTCTCGCCTCTGAGCCGCACAGGGTCCCAGCCCTTACAAGGACAGCGGGACTAGGGGTCTCAGGGCCCTGTCTCTTCCAACTCCGTCTTCGATCTTCACTGGTTAACAACTCCCCGAGCGCTCCCGCGCATCCCCCTTTATAGTGCTCCGCTCCCGGGGAGACGGAGCCCATGCGGACCTCGATTAGAGCACCCACCCCAGTTGACCAATCAACACGCGCTGCCACACGATCCTTTTTCCCATCTTGTGTCAGTGCACACAACCACTCACCACGCGCCGGCACATGATCCATCACTGTCAGCGCGCGTCACCACTATACCACGCGATGTAGCCACACCCGACGCGCTCACACACGCTCCCCCCTTGTCAGCGCGTACCGCCACTACACTTGTATGCAATATCTACAATGGTTTGTGTTCCTGGTGTGTAAACAGAAAAAACTAACTGCAAAACACGCACAAATAATCACGAAGATGAATAGCAAAACAAAAACTCACTGGGCATGACGCACCAACCGGGCCTTGATATGGGAAAAGGCAGCGGCAATAACCACGATGTGTTCATTGCCCTTTGCTGAAGGCTACCGAATGTTTGCAAGGCTCAACCAGGACACACAGTGAGTTGGTCGCCCCTCTATCTGTCCCCCTCCTACTTTACATAGCCATGCCTACACTGCCAACTGTTAATATACTCTGCCCACTGATCATAGGCCTTACTAGTCCATCTATCAGCAACGCCGGAGGACCCAGAGAAAAATCCGGGCTTCCACGGCGTTGGGGGGCGCAACCGTCGGAGTGGCAAAGCCTGCCCGATAATAATCCTATACGATGCAACTCTCTTTGTCCCGCGTTGAAATAATCGTGTCAGCTGCGTTGCGAAAACGAGACTAACGCGACGAGGCGAAGTGGATGTGGCCGAAATGACTCCCAACGATTGGTGGGAAATGGTGCACCGCGTGCATCATCACCACCATCACCACCACCGCAATCACCACCACCATCACCACCGCCATCACCACAGTCATCACCATCACCACCACCATCATCATCACCATCATCACCATCACCACCACCATCATCACCATCATCGCCACCATCATCATCGCCACCATCATCATCGCCACCACCATCGTCGCCACCACCATCATCACCATCATCGCCACCATCACTCTACCACAACCGTTCTCATCAAACAAGCGGAGGGTGAGGGGGGGGTAGGGGGTGTGGGGGGGGGGGGCTCGGCTCTCCCAGGAGGCCGTCAGAGCTGCCTCTTCAATAACGAGGTCGATCCTGGGGGGACATCCCGGGACAGGTGGCAACCCGAAGCAGACAGTCCCTGCGTGCGTTCACCTCGCCACCTCCGCACGCCGAGAGATTCGGGCGAAGGTTGCGGATTCTGGGACTCTGGAGTCGAGATTTATCATCTCAGGGAGGGAGGGGGGGTGAGAGTCTGCCTCGTTCGTGCCATCTCGGTTGCGTCGTTTTGTCCGATTGTTCGTGTCGTTTGTTCCGTCTGCGTTGGTGGTGTCGGTGTCGTTCCGTCTGCGTTGGTGGTGTCGGTGTCGTTCCGTCTGCGTTGGCGGTGTCGTTCCGTCTCGTGATTCCCGAGCCGACTGTCCAGCAACTCTGTTCGTTGCGGGTGCCTCCGCGTGCCGGGTTAAAAGTAATAAGAAGAATCGACACTCGTTCGCGGGCGTGAACATACTCTATGCAACATACCTGGAGCCAAAAACTAATCAATGTAAATAATCGATAATTAATCGATGAATAATCGTTACCCCCGTTTTCTCCGGAGTATAAGACACGATCCGGGAAGTAAGACACCACTCCAGATGTCTTCCCGGTATAAATAAAGTTAACACCGTACACAGCTACCGGAGTATAAGACGCACTCCCAAACTTTTGCTTTAACGTAGCGTGACGGGGGGGGGGCAGGGGGGGGGGGTTATTGAGTGCGTCTAACAATCCCGAGATTATTCTCATCGTCTATCCCTGGGCTGCTGGGGGGGGGGGGGGCTAGGAAGGGGGGGGGGTGATGCTGTGAAGGAGCGAGGTGGAGGCGTGTGCACCACACACACGCGTCCTGTGTATTTGTACATATCGCAGCGAGACGAGGTGCTGTTGATGACGACGGGAACAATCGAGCATTGCAAGGAACTAAAAGAGGATGTGGGGATGATTGATGACCTTGGGTGGTGGCCTCGGTTCTTAACTAGCGGGACATGACGTGAGGTCACCACTTGTGAGTCAGTGTTGCGAAGGCCAGGGCGGGGGTGGGGTTTAATGTTTGCGTAAATATTACAATGCCTCGCGTGTGCGTGGGGTCTAGTAGGAGGAGGGAGGAGATGATGAGACGTCAACCAGCCGGAGAGGCGGTGAGTGCCGTAGGCTTTGCACGGACCGACCAGGAGCAGAACTAAACTATTTTGTCAGTGTTATTGTATACCAGGTAAGCCCTCTGGCTCTCACAAAGCAGATGGCTCGACGAAGTGGCTGCTGATATCATCGCGAGTCAATGTGTTGCTGCACAAATAATACTCGAAACCCCGTGATGTTGATTCTAGAACGTGGAGGGGAGAAGCCGGAGACAAACAAATGCACGCGACCGCGGGAAGAGAGACACCGCAAACTCCAAATATACAGCAGGGTTCAAGGTGGGGATCGAACCCACGGCATCCTGCATACCAGCGAGGAAGTTAACATCTCCTAGCTACCGTGGCAGCGAGCGCGGGGGCACGAGGTGCCACCCCCTCCCCCCGCTGGTGGCCAAAGCTACGAGCTGGGCCCCCCCACCCCCGACAACCACTATGATATTTGATTTCAACAAGGGCGTCAAATAACAACAAAAAACTTGAGAACGCTGTTTACATTTTTTTTAATGAAAAGTATTCCATTTACGTTCCACGTTTTATTTCAATTCAGTTAAGAGCAGTAACGTAATGCTACAAAGAGGTGACTACGACTACGGAGCTGTAGTGGCTGCATTGTGTAGATGGAGCGCCTCCTACAGCATTAAATGTTCGCGACCGTGAGCGTACGGAAGATGTGGTTAGGGCAAGAGGAGTCGCGATGTCTAATAATCGCCTCTAGGGTTTGACTGTGCGAGACAAATCAAATATTGGGGCCTCACCTTGCTGCACCCGCTGAGCTGATAATGTAGTCACTACACCACTGATAATGTAGTTACTACACCACTGATAATGTAGTTACTACACCACTGATAATGTAGTCACTACACCACTGATAATGTAGTCACTACACCACTGATAATGTAGTCACTACACCACTGATAATGTAGTTACTACACCACTGATAATGTAGTCACTACACCACTGATAATGTAGTCACTACACCACTGATAATGTAGTAACTACACCACTGATAATGTAGTCACTACACCACTGATAATGTAGTAACTACACCACTGATAATGTAGTCACTACACCACTGATAATGTAGTCACTACACCACTGATAATGTAGTCACTACACCACTGATAATGTAGTTACTACACCACTGATAATGTAGTCACTACACCACTGATAATGTAGTCACTACACCACTGATAATGTAGTAACTACACCACTGATAATGTAGTTACTACACCACTGATAATGTAGTCACTACACCACTGATAATGTAGTCACTACACCACTGATAATGTAGTCACTACACCACTGATAATGTAGTCACTACACCACTGATAATGTAGTCACTACACCACTGATAATGTAGTTACTACACCACTGATAATGTAGTCACTACACCACTGATAATGTAGTCACTACACCACTGATAATGTAGTCACTACACCACTGATAATGTAGTCACTACACCACTGATAATGTAGTCACTACACCACTGATAATGTAGTTACTACACCATGATAATGTAGTCACTACACCACTGATAATGTAGTCACTACACCACTGATAATGTAGTCACTACACACTGATAATGTAGTCACTACACCACTGATAATGTAGTCACTACACCACTGATAATGTAGTCACTACACCACTGATAATGTAGTCACTACACCACTGATAATGTAGTAACTACACCACTGATAATGTAGTCACTACACCACTGATAATGTAGTTACTACACCACTGATAATGTAGTCACTACACCACTGATAATGTAGTCACTACACCACTAATAATGTAGTCACTACACCATTGATAATGTAGTAACTACACCACTGATAATGTAGTCCACTACACCACTAATAATGTAGTCACTACACCACTAATAATGTAGTCACTACACCACTAATAATGTAGTCACTACACCACTAATAATGTAGTCACTACACCACTGATAATGTAGTCACTACACCACTGATAATGTAGTCACTACACCACTGATAATGTAGTTACTACACCACTGATGATGTAGTCACTACACCACTGGTAATGTAGTCACTACACCACTAATAATGGAGTCACTACACCACTGGTAAAGTAGATACTACACCACTGATAATGTAGTCACTACACCACTGATAATGTAGTCACTACACCACTGATAATGTAGTTACTACACCACTGATGATGTAGTCACTACACCACTGATAATGTAGTCACTACACCACTGATAATGTAGTCACTACACCACTGATAATGTAGTCACTACACCACTGATAATGTAGTCACTACACCACTGATAA